AAAAAAAAAATTGAAAGCATTCCCTCTAAAAGCTGGAACAAGACAGGTATGCCCTCTTTCACCACTTCTTTTTTTAAATGACAGAAGAATGCATTACAATTCTTATTACACATATATACCACAATTTTTCATATCTCTGGTTGTATATAAAGTATGTTGACACGCAATTTGTGTCTTCACACATGTACTTTGGATAATGATGTCTATCACATTCCACCATCCTTGCTAATCCCCTGCCCCCCCTCTCCTTCCCACCCCTCTTTCCTCTACTTCTATTCAACATACTCCTTAAAACTCTAGCCAGATCAATTAGAGGAAAGAAATTAAAAAGATACAAATAGAAAAAGAAGAGCTCAAACTATCTCTATTTGCCAATGACAAGATTTTATATTTAGAAGACCCAGAAAACTCTGCCAGAAACCTTCTAGAACTCATAAATGAATTGAAACAAGTAGCATGATATAAAATTTATACACACAAATCAAGTGTGTTCCTATACACCAATGATGAATCAACTGAAAGATAAATTAGGAAAACTATCCCATTCACTATAGCCTCAAAAAAGTAATAATAAAATATTTGGGAATCAATCTAACAAAAGAGGTGAAAGACTTCTACAATGAAAACTATAGAACACTAAGGAAAGAAATTGAAGAAGACCTTAGAAGTAGAAAGATCTTTCATGTTCTCAGATAGGCAGAATTGATATTGACAAAATGGCTGCACTAGCAAAAGTTCTATACAGATTTAATGCAATTCCTATTAAAATCCCAATGACATTATTCATAGAAATAGAGAAATCAGTCATAAAATTCATTTGGAAAAATAAGAGGCCCAGAGTAGCCTTAGAAAGTGATGCAGGAGGCATCAAAATACCAGACCTTAAATTAACCAACTGAGCTATAGTAACAAAAACGGGATGGTATTGGTACCAAAATGGCCATTTTGATGTATTTATAATGTTTAAAATTGGACTTGATTCTTCTTTAATTGACTATTCTTGTAGTTTAATTCATCTCTATCATGGTTTTCATTTTTATTTTTCATTTCTTCTTCATGAAACCATTCATTAGGTATGTTCTATAATCCAGCTTTCTTGTAACAAATTCTTTTAGCTTCTGTTTTTCATGGAAGGGTTTTATTTTTTTAAAGAGAGAGAGAGAGAATTTTTTAATATTTATTTTTTAGTTTTTGGTGGACATAACATCTTTATTTTATTTTTTATGTGGTGCTGAGGATCAAACCCAGCGCCCTGCACATGCCAGGTGAGCTCGATACTGCTTGAGCCACATCCCCAACCTGGAAGGGTTTTATTTTATTTTCACTTTTGAAGCTTAAGTTTGCTGGATATAGTATTCTTGGTTGGAAACTGTATTTTCTTTCAGAGCCTCATATATATTATTCCAAGCCCTCCTGGCTTTTAGGGTCTGGGTTGAGAAATCAGTTGAAATCAGGATTGGCTTACCTCTAAGTGTGACCAGCCATCTTTCTCCTGCTGCTTTAAAAAAATTATATCCTTATTCTGCATGTTAGGCATCTTCATTATAATATGTCTTAGAGTGGGTGTATTGAGATTTTGTATATTTGGAGTCCTATATGCCTCTTGTATTTGAATTTCTATCTCATTCTTAAGGTTTGGAAAATCTTCTGATATTATTTCACTGAAATGTTTGTGTGTTCCTTTAGCTTATATTTCAGAGCCTTCATCTACCCTGATGATTCTTAAATTTGGCCTCTTGATGTTATCCCAGATTTCTTGAATAGTCTGGTGACAGTCTCTTACTATCTTCATGGTCAACGTTATTTTCATGATTATACACTTTGACTCTGAGACCTGAAAACCTATCTTCAAAATGGTCTCATCTATTGGTGAAGCTTTCCATTGAATTTTTAATTTAGTTCATTGAATCATTTTAAGTATTTCTCTTTAGTTCTTTTTGAGAATAGCTATATCTTTATTGAAGTGATCTTTCATTCCTTGTATTTTTCTCTAATTTTACTCCATATGTCTTCTTTTAGCTTATTGAACATTTTAATTATAACTTTCTAAATTCTTTCCCTGACATTTCCTACACTGTGCTGTTGATAGTCAGTTGTTTAGGCATTATGCAATGTTTTGGGTGTTTTGTTTTCTTGCTTTTTAATATTTTTTCAGTCATCTACTGGGATAGTTATCACTTCTTTTGAGCAAGGAACTACTTTGTGTACTTAAGAACTACTTTCTTAAGTTCTTTCTCTTAAGAACTCTAGGTTGGGTGAATATCCAGATATGATACTTCAACTCAGTGTGTGACCTGTGCTCATCCCAATTTTGGCACCACTTTGAGAGATACCACTAAATCCTATTTACTACATTCAATCACTTCAGAGTCAAGGCATGTACTACTATTCAGCCTTATGAAAAGTGAAAAACTTGTTGATATTGTTCTCCACTGTTCCTATAATTCAGGTATAAACTTGTATCAAGTTTCTGAAATAAGATGAACAATTAGTTATTAAATACATTAAAATTGCTATAACATATGAGAGCTGAAAGGGAGGAAGAAGAAAGATTGGGCAAAAAAGAGAGGAAGAAAGAAAGGATGAATGGATGGAAGAAGGGAGGGAGGGAGGGAGGAAGGAAGGAAGGAAGGAAAGAAGAAAAGAAAGAAAGAAAGAAAGAAAGAAATAAAGAAAGAAAGAAAGAAAGAAAGAAAGAAAGAAAGAAAGAAAGAAAGAAAAAGAAAAGATACAAAATAATACATACCAAGGTATAAAGGAGAAAAAGATGAATGGTGGGTATTTGAGATAGTAGCAGATAATGTAAGAGAATGAATAGGTGGTAAGAGGAGCAAGTATAAACTAGAGCTCAGAAATCAAAGATAGATTGATTCCAATTGGTGGTTTAAACAATTAGGAGAAATGCAGTCAATGTAGGTTCAATACTGGCTACTAGGGTAACAACTATCAATCAAGTTAAAGAGTGATATATATGATCAAAGTTCACATTAGATTATTTATAGTAAACTATACAAGGTGAATAAAATTCTTATTGAATCTTGACTTTGGCTTCATTGGAGTTTGCTTATTTAGCAGATATGCATCGATCTTTGGCTATGGATCCCTCCAGTGTTTCAGGAGCAGAGGAGCCACTTCCCTAATTGCTATGGGCCTCCCATCAGCTGGTTGTGTTTTGTCAGTTAAGGGGCCTATAGCTGACTATACAGAGGCTTAGCTATTTCTATTGTATGCAAGAGTTCAGGATGCAGGCTCTGGAGTGTCCCTGTGATTGCTATGGGTCACTATATACCTGCTCCCCTCTCTAGGATGCTTTTCATGGTGGTAACTTGCCTTGTGGCTGTGTACAAGCATAGGCCCTCTGGTTGTGGATGTGCGGATTCTCTCTGGGTTTTCTGTGGTATAGAAGTATTCCCGACCCAGCTAACACTGCTCTCTGGGGTCTTGTAGTAAAAGGACTCAAGTGGTTCACTTGAGTTCTAGTTTCCAATGCCCCAGGTTGGGAACAGCGGCCGTTGATTTCCTCCGATGCAAGGTTTAGCCAGCATCCAAATAATGGCCCTTCACTGGCCAGTTGTGCCCATGGGTCAGGCTGGGAGCAGTCACTCCTTGCTGCCTTGGATCAGGCAATGTTCCCCCTTAGCTGACCTCCCTCTGGCTATGGTTGTGGGTGCCTGCCACTTTAGTATCCTGCGATACTCATGCAACTTCTCCTAGTAGCCTTCTGTCCATTGCCACCATCTGGAAACTGGATATCTATGTTACTGGATATTCAGGCAGCTTCCCTTTGGTACAGCCCTATGATCAAGGGGACAGTCCCTAGTCTTCCCATGGTGCTTCCTCCCACTCTCAGGAGCTAGGACTGGTGCATTTCTAATGGATCCACTTTTCTTGGCTTGGGGTCAAAGTTGCCTTGCTTCTCCATTTTTCCTGGGGTCCATGGAAGCTGTGCAGACCTTTCCACCTCTGCCCAGGCCACAAGGAGGCTGAGTAGAGTACTGGATTAGGTGCATTTCCCCATGCAGGTCTGCTCCACCTACTCCCTTTGTTTGCATGAGGGGGAGGGGGGTCTCAGCAGCAGCAATTCCTCTAGAAGTTCTTTTTAGCCAGATTCTGAAGAGGTGTCTGCACAGGACTTCCTGGGTTTAATCTGCAGCTGTCTGGATATGGGAAGATGCCTTGTTGATTGAAAGGGGTGACTGGTTGGCTGAGGGCTCCACAAAATGGCTGAAGACCCCCCAGCACAGCTTCCTTTTCATGATTTGGTTTTAAGTTGTTGTCTGCTTCAAGGACACTGCCATTCCCACCACACTTGAAATTTTACTTGCCTTTCCAAATGTTTTGAAGTGGGTGAGCTTAAGAGTTTTTCTGCTCCCTCTTTCTCTCTCTGTGGCCCCTCCCCTTTGCCCCCACCCTGGTCTGGGTTCGGGGTTGGAGAACTCTGCACACATTTCTATTCTGATAACCTATCCTCCAGTCTCTCCAGATCTCAGAGTTTGTAATATTGAGTCTTAGAGCATTCATTTTGTCACCCACCTCTCAATCCTGCTTTTCCTTCACTACCTCCTTTCTGTGTTATATGGAAGTCGGGACTCAACACCTAACTCCCTTCTGCCATCTTTTCTCCACCATTTCCTGGATTTCAGGGCACCTTGCATTTTCCCTATGGTTCTTTGAGTACCTGTGTATCACAGAAACCTAGGGCTCCTGAACATAGGAGGAGTATAGAAATGTATCTGAAGAATCTTCATCTGAGTTTCTGATGACTAATTTAAATAAGAAGACACAGAATATGTCTCTTATTTTTAGAATGACTGAAGAGCCACGATTATCTCTGGGGACCTTCAACAAGAATTCTTTGATTGTGATTATTTCCAGAAAGGCAGTTGAGTTGTTCACAAGAGTCAGGAAGAAATAATTAGGCTGTGGGGTGGGTGAGGATGGGCAGCATGCTAGGTCACAGTGCTAAGACTTCAGGGCTCTATACTTGTTTCCTCCCCTAGACTGCTGCCATCCAACACGTAGAATCTGCAACCACCGAGTTGAACAAAGTCCTGAGGGCCAAGTTCCCCACAGAGATGATCATTGCAACCAGGTCAGTATTCCTTTCTCTCTGGTTCTTTAGGGGTAATTTTGCCCCTCACAGACTCTTCCAAGGACATACATAGGGCTCATTTTGATACCCTGAGTTGTTGAGGCCAAGGAAAGTGTGTAATTATATTTCCTAATTGGATCTCTCCCAACTCAAACCTCCTGAATACAAAGTTTCAGAAAAAAAGATACTATTGGGTTGAGAGGTCCAGCCACTCCAAAAGCACAAAACTGCAAGCCAGGTATTTGGAAGGAAGGTAACAGGAGGGAAATGCAACACTCTAGACCATTCAACAGCTCCTATACCATGTTTTCCATCTTTGACACTGGGAAAGATCTCTATAGTACCTACCTACTTATAGCTGCTCTTTCATAACCTGAGCAACACATTCCTCCTCCCAAATATGTCAGTCATTCATTCTTCCCCTGTTCATACTCAAGCTATCACACTCTCCTTTGCAAACTAGTCCCCACAGGGAGAGCCTTCCTGATGTCATTATGTTTATACTTTATTATTGAGGCCCTTGAATCAGAGCTGATTGACCCAGGGCAAAAACCTGACCTAACTTGAATCAAATAAATGCTCTATTTTGGAAATGCAGAATTAGGACTAAAAAATCCTAGTCAACCTGCCTTAGATACTTCATTTGGAAAGTGGTTTGAAACTGAACTGAAGTGGAAGTGGAGCATATTTTACCATATATATGGGGGGAGCAGTAAAGGGGGGAAGGTTGGAGAGAAAAAGACAGAGAGAAAGGGAGGAGAGATGAGGAAAGAGAGAGAAAAAGATGTAAGATAGGGCTCTGGACTGCATGGTCCATGTCACATCATGCCTTCTATCTTCTTTCCAGATTCTTGTGCTCAGCAGTGGAAGATTTTGTGGAAGATATTGTAAAGGCCTGGAGTCAGATAAAGCAGAACAACACAGCAGTACAGTCTGTGATTTTGAAGGTAAGTCTCTTTTCCTTTTGTCTTTTTGTCCTCCATTTTTGTGGAGCCAGGGATCCCTTTTACAATGAAAGCAAATGTGACAAAATATATGATACTTGTTTTTCTGTGCCTGACTTATTCCCTTAACATGATGTCCTCTGGTTCCATTCATTTTCCTGAAAATGACATTATTTCATTCTTTTTTTATGACTGAATAATACACCATTGTGTATATAGACCATATTTTATTTATCCATTCACCTGTTGAAGAACACCTCAGCTAATTATATATCCTAGCTACTATAAATAGTGCCATAATAAAAATAGGGAGTGGGATAGCTGGATCATATGGGATTTCTATTTTTTTTGAGAAACCTCCATACTGTTTCCATAGTGGCTGTATTAATTTACATTACCATCAACAGCATATAAGGGTTCCTTGAATGAGACAGGGACTTGGGGGAAGAGGGAGGGAGAGGAAGGTGAGAGAGAACAGAAGGGAGGGAGGACATGATTAATACATGATATATGCATATATGGAAATATCACAGTAAAATCCATGAATTTGTACAATTAATATGTGTAATAAAAATCATGGAGAAAAGGAATGTAAAAATAACTCATTAATAATTTTATGTTGATTACATATTAAAATGGCAGTATTTCAGATTTTTTTAAAACAAAGCAAACATGCCTCTTACTGGGAATTGTAAAAGAAAAACAAGGAAGGGCAACTGTTGAGCCTTCCTGATGGGGAGGGTTCAAACTTGTCACCCCCCATGTTTTGCCAAATAAAGAATGGCATATGCATGTATACACACATGCTGTGTAGCTAGCATATGTCAAACATCTGCTCACAACTAGACACAACTGTGCACTAAGTATATATACCAGAACATACTTGAAAATAAGCACATATAAACACTCACTAGAATTATGCCTGCATTAACCTCTGTAACAACAATAGCTAACACTTACATTGCACTTATTCTTGCCAGAGACTGTTCTAAGTGCTCTTAATGTATTAATTTATTGAAACCTGACAGCTGCCCTAGAATATAAAGGAATAAAGAGGTTAAGTAATTTGCTTCACATCATAAACTATTAAGTGATAAAGCTAGGAATGAAAATAATAAATCCTGCAGCAAATGTATATCTTCAAGCATACACTCATACAAAAGCAGCTAGCAACACCCGTGCAGAGACCATCCACATCTACATGAGCATGCCCATGAACATGCCATCCAGAAATGTTTATCTTTCCTAAAGTTTTCCATGTTATACATCATTTTATAGGCCAGTCTGGCTCAAGAAAGACTTGGAAACATATATTGATGCCTGAGGCTTCTCAGAAACAAATGATGCATGTTTGATTTCCCCAATACCCTTTGGGTATCTCATCATATCTAGCCCTGTATTTCTTTCCCCATATGTTTGATCTCCTATTATGTGATTTTTCTATGCTCAGAAAACTACTACATTTTGTCATCTCTCCCCCTACCCCTACCCCAACTCCTTATTCTGTCCTGTCAGTCTCTGGTCCCTCATAACAATGAGCCATTTCCTTCTTCTCTTTACAGAGTGACTTAATGTATGATAAGCTCAGTGTCCTGATTGATGTCCTGGCTGAGGAGGCAGCAGCTACCTCTGTTGAGAAAAGTGCTACAGTATACACAGATGGTGGCAAGGCAGATGGAAAGCCCTTCGTCCCTCAAGTAGACCACATAGCCAAGTACAAGTTGGAGCTGGCCACAAAGGCCCAGAATCTCCAGAAATCCTTGAAGCTCATCATATTCCAGGTTGAACAAGGTATGGGGCCTAGGGTTTTGATGACTGAAGTAGGGGAAAGAGAAGGTTCCAATGGATGGTCGATTGGTTTCCCTCATTCTGGGTTTGCTGTCTGACCTCACTACCTAAATTTGATTAGATTCTGCATTCATATTGTATTGAAAGTCAGTCCTCAGAGTACTAATTTGAAATGCTTCAGTCATGATAAGTTGCCACTTTGGCTACTCCTATCTCCCAGGCAGTCAACTAACACTAATGTTAAACAATTACGGGTGCTAAGAGACCTGGTTCAAAGCTCTGTTATCTCCCACCCCTAGTCATGCAACCTGTGCTCCTGTTTGTTTTCAACCTGTTACTCATTTAAACAGGAAATGGTGTTCATGTCTGCATGTCTGACAAAGTATTAATCAGAGATAAGGCCCTCAAAGTAATCCTGATGGCCCTCACATTGATTGCCGTTACCCAGGACTCAGAAGAATATACAATCTCTGACTCAGTTTGAAAACCTTTTCAACTCCCCCAACTTCTTCACCTAACATTTTGGTGACCACTTCTTCCACACATGCTTTATTTATTTATTTATTTATTTATTTATTTATTTGTTTATTTTGTGAACATGGTATATTGCTTTATTTTAGTCTTCTCCCCCAGCACTATTAAATATCTATTAGTATTATTTTTCTTTTTTATTGATTTTATTATTTTTTTTAAATACATGACAACAGTGGAATGCATTATAACCCTTATTACACATATAGAGCACAATGATTCTTTTAAAAATCAGATCGGAAGATGGTGAAAGACCAAACGTGTTCTAATTGAATTACTGAAATTGAGCAGAAGTCCTGAGTAGCAAGGAATTCCTTTTGGCTGGCCTTTGACTTTTAGCCTGGTACTTTCCCCTGCCTTGGTACCTGTAGGCACAAAACCCCAGTCATGTTTATAAGGAATAAAGAAAGTCTCCCTTATGCATTGTGGATGAATTAAACAGCCAGTTCACCTGTATTTCTATAGTTAGTTTCCAAGTAAATGAAGATCAGATTAATCTGAACATCCCACCACTCTGTCACAACTGAAGCTCCGTCTGCTCTATCAACATGTTAGATTTATAGGTTTGGAGCTATGGGACAAATCAAGTTTCCTTGGTAGGGTAAGAATTGAACCTATGAGCTAAGGCAGGCTGAGCACCTGAGCTGTACCACACATAGGCTGGAGAAAGGAAGGAGATATCCCAAGTGTTTTAGGTATGGGTGAGATAATTGAGTAAAAGAGTGGCATGCTCCTAGAGACCCAAGTCTAGACAAAAGTCCTGTAAGTCAACAAACTAACAGAATGGAGGTGGAAGAGCAGAGAGTTTCCTACCCTGCTCCCCAATTCCCTAGTCCCAAGCTTCTACTCACAATCATGTATATGGGTGACAAAAAAGAGTACCAGGAAGATAGAGAAAGTTAAGATATGGCTATGAAAGCCATGGCAATAGCACAAGACAAGCTGAGCGCAGGCCTGCATACCACAGGAGGATGGTGAATTGTGCCAGCATGCACAACATAGTGAAACTCACTCCAAACCAAAGAAGAAAAAGAAAGAAAAGAGAAAAATGGAAAGGGAGTACAAAGGGCATCATGGAGGAGATATGATGGTCAAATGGGAGTGTCCATTGTCTACACACACACTGACTAGCATTAACTAACAAAATAAATGCTCAATAAATGTGACCCATCCTCATTCCCTCTATTCTTTCTTCCTTCCATTCCTCTTTCCCTCCCTCCCTCCCTCCCTTCCTTCCTTCCATGTTTTCTCTATAGTTCTGGATGAAGAAAGCAGACAGACAATATCAGTTAAGAACTTTGCATCAACTCTCTTCCTGGAAGACTATGACTCAGAGGATTTTTACCAGATGAGCCCAAGACATCGTAAGGATCTTTCTCTTCTTCTTCTGTTATTCTAGACTTCTTCATGTCATTTAGTTTCCAAAGAATAAATATATGTTCTTCATGCATCCTCTTAATCATAATCCTACTCTGCAGTAGAGAGCCCCCTCCCTTTTTCAAAGACCTTATACTATGAAATCTCATGTGTCAATGACCAGAATAATGATCCCATTACACACTTTGAAAAGGCTGCACTGATGAAAGCAGAGATTTGAGGCTGTTTTCACTGCCAACAAAGAAGCAGACCAGCCTTACTATTCCCTCAGTGAAAGTCCCAGTCTATCTAAGAGGATCCTCTTTGCAATGAGCACACTGCATGTTATTTAGGAGAAAGTCATGGAGCTTGACCCACCCCCAACAGGGAAAATAAGATCAAATACAAGCAGGCAGAAAGGCTCCTAATGTTTGCATCTGACACTAAAGAGATGTCCTTTGTGTCTAGGTTCTCGTCGTGGCACTTTGTCGTCTATACCTTCTCTCAAAAGTGAAGACCTAGATAACCTTAACTTGGAACACTTATATTTTACACCTGAAACAATGTAAGTATCTAGTCCAATTACTTTTTGATGTCTTCTTCCTGGTTAAAAGCACAGCCTAGGGATAGAGTCAATTCCCAACTCTACTTACTAGTTGTATGATGACACAGTAGCTTAACCAATGTGATCCTCGTGTTCCTCACATGTAATGAAGATAAATAGAACATGCAACATAGGTTTGTTGTATTTATTGTTTTCATATATAAGACGTACTTGCAGAAAAAATACTTGCATTGAGCAGTGCATGGCATTCAAAGTTAAGTGTTATTGTTAGCAGTTACTATCATTATTAGAAACACATAATACATGTTAGTTGTTATTTCAGAGGACTTGTTTTTCCAGTGCTGCCTTTAACCATAAATGGTTGAAGTACTAAAGAAGTCGCTAAGGGACTAGGTAGAAAATCTAAGGACATCTGTCTCAATAGTACTACTCCTTTGGACTATTACCAGCAGCCAAATTCTTCCACATTCTCTCATCTTGCCTTCCATTAAGAAGATCAGTTGAGTCTGGGGTTGTGGCTCAGTGGTGGAGCACTTGCCTAACATTTGTGAGGCACTGGGTTCCATTCTCAGCACCATGTATAAGTAAATAAAAATAAAAGTCCATTGACAACTAAAAAAATTAAACAAATATAAAAAAGAAGATCAATTAGATATCAGTTAGAGAAAGTCCAATTTTAGGACTAAGGTTAATCTCATATGAGGGATGTTGGCTCAGTTGAGTAACGAATACAAAAATCATCTGTGATCCAATACCTGAACTGTATCCATTTTCAGATTCTCCAAAGGATACAACTAGAAATTATTTGTTTTCTTTTTTTTCTTTTTTTTATTGGTTGTTCAAAACATTACAAAGCTCATGACATATCATATTTCATACATTAGATTCAAGTGGGTTATGAACTCCCATTTTTACCCCAAATACAGATTGCAGAATCACATCAGTTACACATTCACATTTTTACATAATGCCATATTAGTGACTGTTGTATTCTGCTGCCTTTCCTATCCCCTACTACCCCCCCTCCCCTCCCCTCCCATCTTCCCTCTTTACCTAATCTGTTGTTGTTCAGTTCTCTCCCTTGTTTTTCCCCCCCTTTCCCCTCACAACCTCTTATATGTGATTTCATATAACGTTGAGGGTTAATTATTTGTTTTCTTAAGCAATTTGTTTAAGAAAACAATTCTTATTCCTATCTCCAATTTTCACAGTCCCCATATCACCACTAGTTTAAGTTTATGTCTACCCAGTGAGCTTTGATACATAGTATGCCAGCAAATGTTTAAAAAACATCTCTCAGAGATAGGGAAGCATTGATTTAATCTTGGTGTAAACCTCCCATCCTGGCCTATTTCAAGCCACTAATATAATGTCATTGAAGGTAGAGTTGGGAACGGATATGCATAATCAGTTTACATGAGCTGGTATGACCTGACTCTAGCACCCCACTAGTTTTGATGTTGACACCCTAGATGGATACAGGAAACTCAAAAGTCTACTTGGGTTTTGGGTGAGTGCATATGTGTCCTCTTTTATCAGTTGTGCCCTCCAAAGGTGTGGTCACTTTGCGTTTTGACATGAAAGTATTACAAAGAAGTCAGACGTCACTAAAAGCAATAGTGCAGACTTCACTGCCATAATACATTTGTATCTGGTATGCTCAAAAGTTTATTATGAGAATAAGCCAATGACTCTCTTTCCCTCTATTATATTTGGAAAATATGAGTCACTCATATTTGAGGCCTCCAAAGATGAGTAAGATCATGAATGTTACTTTTTTACTGAGCCCCAATCACATTGACGCTTCCCAACTGGCTGGGAACCCTCTCTTACAGCTGACAGGCTGGTTGTTAACACAATAGAACATCTACATGTGCCTCTCAAGGGCATTATGCATTGTGCCTAATGCAGCAGAGGCCTTATCTCAGTGATTTTCCATCAGGCAGATGAAGTCTACAACCCAATGACAGCATCACTTCCTTCTTGCATCATTCTGTTCTTTTCTTGGCTCATTTCAGACGCTTCAAAGAAAAGTGTGTCATGAACAACTACTTTGGAATTGGGCTGGATGCTAAAATTTCTCTGGAGTTCAACACCAGAAGAGAAGAACATCCAGGACAATACAAGTAAGGGGGAAAAAACCCTCCTCCCCTTCCTACATGCAAACACGCAATGACAATACACATAGGTCCCTTACCTCTCAGACAAGCAACGGAAAGAAAGGGCTCCTTGGGAAGTAAAATACACTGGTCCCAAGACTAGCCTAGTTGTTCAGCTTGCTCCAAATGTTGGGCTGGTCTGTAATCACTGCACTGGCCTACTGAAGTTGGAGTACTCATCATGGTCTAAATCTGTGAATTGCTATAAGTATAGCTTCCTGTGTTAGTATTATTGAGAACAGATTACATTGACTCAATTTAGCAAATTTCTTATCTTTTTTTTTCTGCCTGTGAGAGCTTAACTAGATTGTAACAGGAGTTTTAGTTCTGTTCTTATTTGGAAGGATTACAAAATATCAAAGATCCCCCCTATTTGTTCTTGGTATTCCTAACCTGGTTCCTCTAGACCCGTTGATTTCACCCTATCTAGCATTGGCCTGCTTGGCACTTTGTGGTACATTTCTACTTCAGACATACCCTAAGGTAGCCTCACAGTCCTTATAAATTGAAACTATAGATAAAAAGAGGCATACCGCTCTACCTGACCCCTGCGATTGCTGTTAGAAACTCTTTCTCAGAACAGACCAGGGGTGAGGAACAAGTATTTTATCTGATAGGTGGTTTACAAATAGTTTCTTCTAGTCTATTGATTGTCTTTTCATTTTCTTAGTGAAATGTTCTAAATTTTAAAAGTTTTGAATTTTGATAAAGTCCAATTCCTGTATTTTTTTTCCTTTATGATCCATGCTTTTAATGCCATATCAAAGAAATATTTGCCTAACTCAGGGTCTTGAAAATTTGCTCCTAAGTTTTCTTCTAAAAATTTCATTGTTTTAGCTCTTACATTTAGTTCGATAATCCACTTTGAGTTATTTTTTTATGATGGGGTCTAAATTCATCCTTTTGCATGAAGATATCCAGTTATCCCAGCATCATGTTTTTTGTTGTTTTTTTTTTAAAAAACCTATCCTTTCCCCAGTGAATTGTGTTGGCATCTTTGTCAAAAATCAATTGACTCCAGTAGCTCAGGAGGCTGGGGCAGGAGGATCACGAGATCAAAGCCAGCCTCAGCAATTTAGCAACACCCTAAGCAACTCAGCGAGACCTTGTCTCTAAATAAAATATTAAAAAGGTCTGGCAATATGGCTCAGTGATTAAGTGCCTGTGGTACCTAAATAAATAAATAAATAAATAAATAAATAAATAAATAAATAAATAAAACAATTGACCATATATGTAATGATGGTTTATTTCTGGACTCTTGTGTTCCATTGATCTATGTACCTATCCTGTGCAAGTAACAAATTGCCTTGATACCTGTGGCCTTATTGTAATTTTTAAGTTGGAAGATGAAAGTCCTCCAACTTTGCTTTGTTTTTTTCCAGAATTGTTTTGGTTTCTCTATGTGCTTTACATTCCCATATAATTAAACCTCTATTTTATAGATGAGTAAACTAAAGTGCCCAGAAAATTTTTGGCTTCAAATAGGGTTCAAATAAGGTTGTGCTAGCCTTACATTTTACAACTCATTCCCTTGCTGGGCAAGGTGGCACACAACTATAATCTCAGTGATTTGGGTGCATGAGGCAGGAGGTTTGCAAGTTCAAGGCCAGCCTTAGCAAATTAGGGAGGCTCTAAGCAACTTAGCAAGACCCTGTCTCAATATAAAAATGGCTGGGGATGTAGCTCAGTGGTAAAGTACTCCTGGTACCAAACAAAAACAAAAATAAAAAAAACCCCTCATCCCCTGTGGTTGCTCATGTGGTTGCTCATGTGATAGCTCATTTCTGTGGCTATACTTTAAAAGCTCATAGTAAGCAATACTATGACTGTAGCTGCCTACCTGTTTTTATCAGAGGTCCTACAGTCAGCAGGACCCTGTTCTTTCCAACACCATCCTGAGTCTCCCAGTTTCTTACGTGTCTCATATTCTCTCCACTGGCTCACTATCTAAAAGCTCCTTACTAAGCCTGGCCTTATTCTATGACACTGAATTAAGTATTTAATATAAGGCTCTGGTATTTGGAAAAGTTCTCCACTTTGTCAGAAAAGTCACTGCTTCAAAAAATTGCAGTCCAAGAATCAGATGTTTCATATAAAATTGATTCTAGGCCCCTGAAATTTTGCACTCCTGGAATGGCACATGCCAGGGTAACTGATTTGTATCAGCCAGCTATGCTCACGGATTTTGGTGAGTATTGCTTTCTAAATATAGCCTGTTTCTTCCAAGTCGGGACCAATATTTAGCAGCAAGGAGAAGTGGAAAATTTATTCATCAATAGGATACTGAAGCTTCAACGGAGCCCAGGGATTCATTCCTGCATGTGTTTGCATTAGAACACCAGTTACATTATCCCAACAGCCCCTCCAGTTTTTTGTTTTTTTTTTTTTTTGATACCCAGGAATTGAACTCAGGGGCACTTAACCACTGAGCCACATCCCCAGCCCTCTTTATTTTTTATTTTGAGACAGGGTGTCACTAAGTTGCTTAGGGCCTCACTAAATTGCTGAGGCTGGCCTCCAACTTGTGATCCTCCTGCCTCAGCCTCCAGACCCGCTGGGATGGGTGTGCACCACCATGCCTTGGCTCTGTTAATCTTTGTATTATTCACCTTATGACCATCTTTCTCTTCTTTGTCTTCCTGTAGCAGCCGCTTTAAGAACAAGATATGGTATGGCCTTCTGGGAAGCAAGGAACTTCTGCAACGCTCTTACAGGAAACTGGAAGAACGAGTGCATCTAGAGGTTAGTAGAAAAAGGAGTGGTCCTTCCTGGGCAATGGAGAAGGGAAACCTCATGGCCTTGGAAATCAACTTTCCACTATATCCTTGGTTATTACCAAGCTTTAACTGTGATCCTCACTCACAGCTCATAGGAGAAAGGCAGAAAGATGGATTTCTATTGTACGGATAAGCAAATAATAGTATGAAGAGAAGACAGAGCCTTTTCCCATCTCTGTAAATGTCCCTTCACATTGGTATCTGAAAGTCAGCTAATGAGAGCTTATCTTTCCTTTCAGTGTGATGGAGAACCCATCTCCTTGCCAAACCTGCAAGGCATTGTAGTGCTCAACATTACCAGTTATGCTGGAGGTGTCAACTTCTGGGGAAGCAACACAGCGACTGCAGTGAGTATGGAACAAGGAATGGGGTGGGAGAAAAGCATGACCCTGCTAAGTCCTCTCAGAAAGGAGAGTTGGTCGACTACAGTGGGAAGTGGACAATGTGAGGAGGGAACATAGACTGGAAACTTCTATTAGTAGCCACAGTAGACTCAGGTTTTTATTTATTTGTTTGTTTGTTTGTTTGTTTATGTTGCAGGGATTGAGCCCAAGGGTGCTTAACCACTTAGCCACATCCCCAGCTCTTTTTATTTTTATTTTTTTTTTACTTTGTGAAAGGGTCTCACTAGGATTCTTAAAGCCTCACTAAATTGCTGAGGCTGGCTTCAAACCTGCTATCTTCCTGCCTCAGATGCTGGGATTACAGGCATGTACCACCATGCCTGGCTAGGCTAATTACCATCCCAGAGCTGGCCTTGGGAATCTATGATGTTGGATTGGACAAGGTAGAAACTGGCTGTGAGTTATGATCTCAAAAGTGGATAAGAATTGCTGTGACCCAAGTGTCTTTTACTCAGATTGGCTTCCTCCCTTTATCCTTTCCCCTTTTAAGAATGCAGTTTTTCCACTTTTCTTGAACTAGAAAATGGTTAACAGGAGTCTTCAAAACACCCTTGTTTGTTATACACAAAGTGTACTTTCTCAAGGGTGGGAAATATAATCCATTTCTTCCTCCTTAGGAATATGATGCTCCTGCAATAGATGATGGAAAGCTGGAGGTAGTGGCAATCTTTGGTTCTGTGCAGATGGCCATGTCCCGTATCATCAACCTGCATCATCATCGCATTGCCCAGGTAGGCAGGGATTAGATGGGTACTAGAAAGGGGGTGAATTTTCCATCTGCAATCCTGGATGTGAGGGTAATCCCAGGAATTAACTAGGCATAAAAGTTTCAGGGTGAAGGAAACAGGTTATCTGGTAGGTACCAAGGTGCTGGCTGATATTGGAGATAGAGGTGGTAGAGACCAAAGGGGAAAAAAGCTCATAGGAAGTGGGTGTTTCTCCCTGGCATAATCTAATCCATATGTTTGCTACGTCAGGTACACATTTAGGACATGATTGTGAGATTGTCAGATTGGTCTATAGGACTTGCTTCATTTTTCTCCCCTATTTCCTCTCCTGTTCTCTGACAGTGCCGTGAGTTGATGATAACTATTGATGGTGAAGAAGGTATCCCAGTGCAGGTGGATGGGGAGGCCTGGATCCAGAGGCCAGGTATTATCAAGATTAGATACAAGAATGCTGCCCAGATGCTGATGAGAGATCGGGTAAGAGGAGAGAGGCTCATCTTGGGCTCTCACACTACTTTATCGATCCATAGCTGTCACATGACTACTGAAAATTTCCAGTCAAATAGAATTTCTCAAAGAGTGGCCTGCATGGCCATTTCATCACAGTCACCTGGGATGCTGGTTATAAATGCATACTCCTGGGACCCATGCCAGGTCCACTGAACAGAATGGGGAACAGTGGTTCTCAGGAGCCTGCATTTATAAACAAGTTCCTGAAGACATTCTGATATATATTGACACTTGCAAACCACTGTCCCAAAGAGCAAGGCAAAGAGCTCTCTCCTGTAGTTTTAGACAAAATTATCCTCCAGTCTCCATTGCACAGAGAATCAAAGTTAGGCCTTAGATGGTAATAGAGAAATTTGCTCTTTCAACAATATATTTCATCTGCATTGATGGTCTTTAGCTTCATGTAAGATTCCTTAAAATGCTGCATTCATAAATATCACCGACTTCACCTAAATCTTCTAAAGCTACAAAGGAGTCATTATTGATTAGCTGTTCAGTGACAGGAGGCTGTCTTCCATCCTGACCTGCGAACAGGCCATAGAAACAGCAATAGATGGGATAGGACATCTAATTTATAAGATGCCTACTTTGTGCTGGGTATTTTACATGTTTTGCCTCACATGCTACCCCCAAACAATCCTGAGATGGATACACTTATTTCCATTTCAGGAGGTTAAATAAATTGTTCATGGCCACATAACTGATAAATGACAGAAGTATGATTGAAAATTGGATTAAGTATGTCTGGCTCTAAACTCCATCACAAACATATTGCCTAGATTTGGCAAAGAAAAAAAAAGCATGAAATGAACTCTACTCTCTTATCTGTCATGATGCCCTTATATAGGACCTTCTGGAAGGCAGATATCTGATTCAAGACCAAACTAAAAGTGCCTAGTACAGAAGAGATGGTGAATAAAAGGATAGATAGATCTATAGACAGGTGTACTGGGGAATGCACAGAGGAGCCTCATTCCCCATTTACCTATTGTACCCACACGTTACCCACAAAGGTCAGACTCATAGACAGACCTGTCATGTACCCTCTTAGCTGCAGCAATCATTAGGATATGCCACTGTTTTCATCTCCAGGACTTTGAGAATTCAATGAAAACGTGGGCATGCAAGCATAGTGAAATTCAAGCTGCCCCTCAACCCCAGCTGGACTCCCAGGAATCTCATGATAGCCTCTCTGATGAGGAGTTTGCCCAGATGCAGCACTTAGCTCGGCTTGCAGAAAACCTCATTAGCAGGTAAGTGGACTGGCCTAGATACAAGGATGGGAGACTCAAGAAAGGATAGAGAGAAGCAGCCAATTTGTCTAATGGCTACTGGGGAGCCTGGCCTCAAGCATCTCACCTAGTGCTCAGAACATTGACTGACTCCCTGACAATCCATGGAGGAAATATTCTTTGTGCTTAGCAATAAACCAGCTTGGAAATTTCTCATTAGGCAGAGATGAATTTTGATGTCTTCCTGTTGCCCCAGACCCAAGAATACAAACAATGTTTATCCTCACCCTTAATTATCAGGAGGACCTTGGAGTTTCTGGAATAAGCTACTCTCCTTTATTTTAGTCTCCTACTCTACTCAAATTCCTAGTATCTTAATTCAGGTTAGCCAAAAGTGAATATGCAGAAAAGAGTAGAAACAGTTCCAAGCATCAGTGGCTCTCTAGAAAAGAGCAAACATAACAAAAGAGAATAAAAAGTCCAAATCTAGTACCTAGGATTTTCATTTCTCCCCTTATCCCAACCTATCAGCACCCCAGGCCAGAAGTCCTAAGTTCCCAGCTCATCCATCTGTCCTTGATTTATTATAGACTCAATGACCTCAGCAAGGTCCACCAGCATGTGTCTGTCCTCATGGATTCTGTGAATGCCAGTGCTACCATCCTGAATGATGTATTTTATGGCCAAGACAGTGGCAATGAGGCAGGTGCAGCTTCTTGTACTCCCATTGAGGTAAGGTCAAAGGGGGCAGATGAAGGAATGGGGTCAACCTAGATAGGAAAGGAGATGCAAAGGGAAGAAGAGCCAGAGGCTGGATATGAAGAAACTGGGCAAATTTATATGGCAGGAAACTGATGGATAGAGTGGACAGGAAGGCAGGCACGTCTTGACTCATTACAGGGTCAAGATGGCTGCTAGGGGAATCCCACAACAGATTTGATCAGCCTGAGAACTAGCCCTTTCTCCTGATGGCTATCCACCATACCAACCTCAGGGGAGAAACGGCCAATGAATGGAGAGGAACTTAGCCTTGGGCCTTCCTCATCCCATGTGGTTCCCTGTATAACTGAATCAAGGGACACCTGCAAGTGAAACCAAAGTTCCAAGGTGTTTTTGTTTTCTTCTTGAAGGAAAGGTCCAGATTAGACATTTATTTTAAATGTGCCATCCCATGGCTTTACCCACTTCCAGAAGATTTAAATGATAATTTTAAGAATTAACTTCAAGGCTGAGGATGTGGCTCAGTGGTAGAGCATTTGCCTAAACCATAAGAGGCCTTTGGTTTGATCCCAGCACAGAAAAAAAAAGTTATTTTAGTGCTAAAAAAATGCCATATAATCAGGGTATGATGAAATGTGGGTTAACTATTTTGGGCCAGATCTTAGCCGGAAGAGCCCTGGAGACCAAGGCCTGGAATTTTGAGAAGAGAGATGATTGGACCTAATTCCACCTGCCATGAGAAAGATGGTTTTAGCCTAGGGACAAGTGGCCTCAAATTTACTCTCCGGTTTGCATATTTCATATTTTCCTGTACTACTGCACCCAGTCAATGATGCCAAAAGCCAAGTTGTGCTGTGCCACATTGTAGGGCACACCAATATAGCTGGCATCAGTTCTATGTGCTTAGTACCCATACTCTACTAGTTATGCCATATTTTGAATATTACTTTTTTTTTTTACCTACAGCCATGTCCTACTCTAGCCTACTTCTACCTTCCCAGAGAAGCCAGCTGCATGCTTACTAACCAACAACTCCTCTGTCTTTGTCCTTTCCCTTCCTTTCTTGTCCTTTCTTCTTCTCTTAGACTATAAGCAGAAATGACGCAGTAGATGTTACATTTAGTCTTAAAGGGCTCCACGATGACACCAAAGCTTTCCTGGATGAAAACTTGGTGAGTGCAGAGGGTTGGAGCATGGGAGGGCAAAACATGCTATCCAAAGATGGTCAGACTCTGTGCATTGTTCCAGGGCACAGGCAAGATGGGATCATTCTAAGCAGGTGCTTGCCTGGCAGTCTTTTCTGTGTCACCGGGAATTGTCATTGCTTGTGTTACTTCATGGGTTATGTTAATCCATAGAGACTACCATACCCTTGAAAGAAGGTCCCTCCCTCTCCTTTGACAAATGTCTCCTGGGTCCAGACCAGGTAAATCAAAAGTAGGGTATTCTCATCATACCTGATACAACTGCAGGAGAAAAGAGTGAGTTCTTCTGAGCTGCTCTGTGTCTCTCAAATTTCTATATATTTCTTTATTCATGTCGGAAGGCAATATGAAATGGTGGGAAAACTGGGGAGACTCGGGATTCAAATCCAAAATCTGCCACTTAGTAGTTCTATTCATTTCCAAAGCCTGTCACAACAAAGTACTAAGAACCAGGTGATTTAAAACAACAGAAACATCTTGTCTCTCGGTTCTGGAAGCCAGATGTCTAAAATCAAGGTTTTAGTAGATCTGTGCTCCCCTGAAACCTATAGAAGAATTCTTCCTTACCTCTTCTTAGCTTCTGGTGTTTTGCTGACAATCTTTGATGTTCCTCAGCTTGTAGATGCATCACTCTAATCTCTGTCTTCACATAGCAATTCCCCTGTGTGCCTGTCTTCATGTGACCATCTCCTTCTAAGGAGCCCGTTCATAATGGAATGGGGCCTACCTTATCCAGTATAACCTCAACCTAACCATTAATTACATCTGCAATCACCCTAACTCCATCTAGGGTATTAGGGTACTGGGACTTTAGACTCCAACATATCTTTGCTCGGGGACATAACTCAACCCATAATACTACCTGTGTAGAGTGACTTTGCATCTCTGGGTCTTTGTTTCCATATCAACAGGATATGAAGTGTAATCCCTACCTCCCTAGATTATTGTGAGAATCTAACAAGTTATTTTATCTCAAGTGCATGGCACAGAATAGTGGCTCAATAGATGGTAGCAGGTGGTGAGAGAGAAAAGAGATTGAGGCTCTGTTTGGGGGCTATAAGACTAGTTGCATGTTTCTCAGAATGCAAAACCCACGGGCACACTTGATGAGCGTGCTCTAATGAGGCAAGCGATCATGACCACCCCAACTTGAGGTCAGCTGCTAAGGCCCTGAGGCAGCTGCTCTGCCTGCCTCTCATCTAATTAAGGTTTATTTGAAGAAAGGCTTCTGAGTTGAAATTGCAAGAAGTATAACCACTTTCCCTTTTCATTTGCACATCTAATTGGCACACTGTGCAGGAGACAGAGTGGCTAAGGCAATCAGGGCAGGCTGTCCCAGCATCTGATCGCATCTGATCCCCAAGATAGGTTCTTTGAGCTTTAAACAACAGCAATAGAAGTACTTTACACATATAGACAGAATTCAGTGTTCTTGCTGTTTTGAACAGCAGGAAATATGAGATTCTGGCCTCTCATTGCTACTTAGGCTTTCTGGAGGCTCATGACCTGACAGGTGGTCTATACCAGCCTACAACCCAACTTGAGCATATCATACCATGGGGTGGAGGCCTCCAGAACACTTATAAGGTTCCCACTCCATAGGACCTGGTGAGGACCCACACACATACACATATATGCAAATGAGGCTAGAAAGCAAGCAGCAGTTAACCAAGAAAGAATATGTATCTCCAGAAAGGCTGTCATAGATGTGGGATAAAGACAAGATTTGTTTCATTTTTGTGTTATTCCTTCCCTTGAGGAAGGAGGGCAGTAAGCTGTATAGTGTTGGCAAGGAGATTGCGTTAACCAGCTTTTTGATGCTGTAACAAATAACCTAAGATAATAAACATATAAAGAGAAAAGGTTCATTTTGGCTTACAGTTTGGAAGTTTCATGATCAGCTGGCTCCATTGTTTGAGGACTGTGGCAAGACAGCACATCATGGCAGGGAGTGTATGGGAATAAAGATGTGTATTTTGTGACCAGGAATGAAAAAGAGAGAAAGAGGAGGGGCTGGGATCTAACTATCTTCTCCAAGGGCGGATGCCACTATTTCCTTTAAGGGCATGCTCCTAATGATCAGAAGACCTCCTGTTAGTCCCCACCTACTATAATTTCCTCCACTTCCCAACAGTGCCAAGCCACATTCCTAGCCATATCTAATTTTGAGACAAGGTCTCATTAATTTGCTTAGGGCCTTGCTAAATTGCTGAAGCTAGCTCTGAAATTGCAGTACTCCTGCTTCAGCTTCCCAAAGTCCTGCACCACTGGGCCCAGCTTCCAGCTCTACTTTTAATCTGGCATGTCTGTGGCTTCTTGCTGTGCAAGACCCTGTCTCAAAATTAGATATGGCTAGGGATGTGGCTAAATTGTTAAGTTCCCCTGGGTTCAATACCTTGAACCAAAATAAAAAAAAAATAGATGGCATGGTGGGCAGGAGAGGTGAGATCAGGTTAGGTGAACAAGTGACAAGTGTAGCTTAGCTCTGTCAGAGATGAATATATCAGCATGCTTCTGTGGCCCCAGATCATTATCTACTGGGGCAAGAATGATCGCACCTGTGTTGCTGGTCTAGCACTCAATTCTTCTGAATTGTAGATGGTCTCAAAAGAATTTATTTTATGTCTCCCAAGCACTGTAAGGAGTTCATCCTGGGGTGTTGGGGATTACTGTTAGCACTTAAGTTTGGTTTCCTGAGCCTATAGAACAAACCATCTGAAACTTTTTTTCTTAATTATCAAGAGCATAGGGGCTACAACAGTCTGGGGAGGCAGACCCTCTGCCAGGAAGGGAAAATCTGAGCCAGTCTCTCTCTAACCCACTCTCCTTGATACACAATATAGTTTTTAAATTACAGTAAGTGTGTAATAAAGATTCCCCCAACATCTGAGCACCCCATCTGCCCTTTCTGGTATAGGTTGTGGAGTATTGAATTAAACCAATGGGGGTTCTGTCTGGCTATGTGATTCTGAGCATTAAGGTTCTTTGAGTCTGCCTTCTCAACTATGAAATTGGAACCATGGTCCCTTGTAAGGTATTATAAGGTTATTGGGAAAGTGAAATGAAATTATGTATGCATAGTGCCTGACATAGACTCTGTGCTCAAAATTTGGCAGTTATTATTCAAGAGGACACTGGGAAGCTCCAGCAACTATAGGTTAAGAGTAGGACCCTTGTCCTTGACCCTAAGTTGTAGGGGAAGAATTGAGTGATATTGGACAAAAAGACTTTGCTTGCCAAATTGAGCATACCCAACTGCAGGGAGCGCCCCACCATTTGTTTGTTTCCTGGATCTTCCTGTTGAGAAAGAAAAGAGCTAATTGCCATCCAAAGGAGATAAAAGTTGTCTCCCAGTTGTCCCCCACTAGCAGGGACTGGGAGTACAGGAGAGGGCAAGGGTCTATGAAGGCAAGGTGCAAGGCTTTGGTCATTCATTGTTTTTCTTGGTCTCCAGCTAAGAAATGCTGAGGCTGAGGCCACGCTACAGAATGCCCTGGATGTCATGAGTCAGGAGTTTGAAAAGTTATCGGAGATCTACTGGATGACTCCAATCCTAGTTCCAGAGGTACGTAATGTAGGGAATGGACAATAAAGGGGTAGGGAATTCTTCCTTGGTGCTTTACCTTCCAGTGTGGGTCAGGACATGGTGGCTGATGCAGCAGGAGTCCAGCTTCAGCTTTAACAGAGCTTCCTCCTACCCATTTTCTCACCATAAGTGAAAGAATGAAACAGAAAACATGAAATGTAAGGTGACCATGGGGAAACAACAAGAAAGAAGAGCCACTCTATAGCAAGAGATGATCAGGAAGAAGAAAGATTGTTTTTTTTTTTTCTATGTTGTTCTCATGGCTGCAGATTCCCCCTCCCTGCTCAGTTACCTATGCCAGGGCTGAACTTCATCTGATATGAACCAGCATGGCCATACCAGTTGTTCACAGACAACAACTATCATAATGGTTAGTTCATACTGAAGTTACTCTATGGCCAGTGTCCAGGCCATACTGGTAGTTAAATCTTCCAAATATAACCTCTCTTGCTGCTGAGAGAGCAGGCCCTCTCAGTGGCTCTCCTTAGCAGGTACATGGTTTAAAAGAAAATCAAGCATATTAGCAGTTGTTCAAATATAGTTGCAAGGATGTTGTCATGTTTTAACAACTCTGAACACTCTCTAAAGATTGAAAAATAGTCCCTTCTCATCAATTGAACGACCCAAAGATGTTCACCTGTCACAAGGTAAATTATTTTCTTTATGGTATGAAAAATTCCTCAAAACTTCCCTACAATAGAACCATTCATTTCAACCTGTTGGAATCCCAAGCCCCTCTATTCAGTATACCTGTTTTCTGTCTCATACACCAATTATATGCATGCGAGTGGTATATAGAGACACAGTACAATTTTGGAGGAAATGTATATACAAATTTATGGTTTTTTTTGTGTGTGTGTGTGTGTTTAACTGGGGATTGAACCCAGGAGCACTTAACCACAAAGTCACATACATCCCCAGCCCATTTTCTTTTCTTTTTTTTATTTTTCAATTTTCAGACAGGGCCTTGCAAAGTTGTTTAGGGCCTCACCAAGTTGCTGAGGCCAGCTTTGAGCTTGCAATCCTCCTGCCTCAGCCTCCAGAGTCACTGGGATTACAGGTGTGCGCCACTGCACCCACTTCCAATTCATGTATTAAAATATTTAATAACTTTCTCTAATGACCCTAGAACTTTCCGAGGCTGTCTGCACCTGATGCTTTTGATCAATAGCTCTCTGGGGAAGGAAACATAATGTTAAGACAGCAAAGAAAGTAAACTTTTATTGCACTCCTGTTTTAGTCAGCTATTTTGCTTCTATGACTAAAAGACCTGACCAGAACAACCATAGAGGAGGAAAAGTTTATTTAAGGGATCACAGTTTCAGAGGTCTTAGTCCATAGAAGGTCAGTTCCATTCCTCAGGACTCAAGGTGAGGCAGAATATCATAGTGAAAGAGTGTGGCAGAGGGAAGCAGCTCACATGGTGATCAGTAAGCAGAGAAAGAGAGACTTCACTCTCCAGATACAAAATATATATCCCAAATCCATGCCCTAAATCAACCCCTTCCTCCAGCCACACCCCACCTGCCCCCATTTACCACTTGGTTAATCCATTTGGGTAGTAATTCACTGATGAGGTTAAGGCTTTCATGACCCAATCATTTCTCCTCTGAACCTTCTTGCATTGTCTCACACATGAGCTTTTGGGGGACACTTCACATCCAAACCATAAAAACCCCATTCTGTTATTACCCAGTTCAGCTCTATCTCACCAAGATTCTGATCTAGAAAATGCATTAGTTATTAAGAGAAATGAGACAAACACATCCCCTACCCTGAGATTCCAGTTTATATATGAGTCTTCCCAGCCTGAGACAAAAACTCTTTTCTGAGCTACAATATTTCCACAGAATAAAAGGCATGCTAGTGAACAACTGAATGGACAGAAAGAAAGCTAGGAAGATATTTTCTTATTCACTAGACACCAAACTTGCTCACCTTTAGGCCACAGAAGGTTCAGATCCACTTTGCTGGGGGAATAGCAGGATGAGAGACAGTTATTCATTGGGCTTCCCAAGATGTTGAATGAAGGGACATCCTTCTTTTCTGAAAGACAATTATTTGTTTGTTTTTTTTGTTTTGTTTTGGTACTGGGAATTGAACTCAGGGGCACTCAACCACTGAGCCATATCCCCAGCCCATTTTGTATTTTATTTAGAGACAGGGTCTCACTGAGTTGCTTAGGGCCTTGCTAAATTGCTGAGACTGGCTTTGAACTCACGATCCTCCTGCCTCAGCCTCCTGAGCTGCTGAGATTACATATGTGTGCCACTGCACCCAGCCTGAAAGATAATTCCGAAGGCTGGTGTGTATAACCAGGAGCAGTATTACAAGAGAGAGGGTAAGTGTGAGCCAAAGAGGAAGAAGAGGCCAGGTGAAACTCTGCTCCTAGTGGAGGGGATTGAAGACACAAATAGTCCCCAAAGGAAGGTAATCCCAAAGCTTCTTGAGATGTGTTTGGATGATTTTCTGTTAACAAAGTTACCCTCAGGGGGAAAAAGTTAACCTTGGAATGATGTTTTACTAAGACCAGTAGTAAAAGGAGCAAGAGACTAGGGGGCTGAGCAGGAATTAGAGTATATAGGATCTGCACAGCAGAGAACCCACATAACTAAGAGCTTTGTTTAGTGACCACTCTATATTCCAGGCAGGCAAGCAAGCAGGTGGCCTGGGAGGCATGATCTTCCCTATAGGAAGGTACGTGGTCAAGGAGTGAGTGGGCACTCATCCACTTCATGTCTGAAGGAAGGAGTACCTTTTTTTCCTAATACATGCAGAGGAGCTACATGAGCTAACAGTGGCCCTAGCAACCTCACCCTTCCAATCTCTAGCAACATGACCTCAAGTGACTTCTCTGAGACTCTGCTTCCTCATTTCTAATATAAATATAAGCAACCTTTGCCAGGTTGGGTGATTGACATGAGAACATTTACTGAAGTATCTAGCAAGACACTTGGCTTTTTGTAAAGATCAGTTCTTTTACTAGAGCATGTAACCGAGCTTGTCTCTCATACTTGGGGATAGAGAATAGAATTGCCTGCTTTCTGTAGCCATTCTTGTCCATCACATTGCCAGGCCCCTAGGAATTATTTCTGAATGTTAGGTGACTAATATTTTGACCTTCTTCTTGCTATGGTTTTCTAGGAAAAATCTTCAGATACTGATAGTAGAAGCCTCAGGTTGAAAATTAAGTTCCCCAAATTGGGGAAGAAGAAGCTAGAAGAGGAAGACAAGCCTAAATCAGGCCAAAGATTTTATGGTTTTATTGGTAAGTCTCTTCTACATGTATAAAGAACACAAAGACTTCCCTAGTTGCCTGGGTACCTCCCAGGGACTGGAAACCCCCATTCAAATTCACAGGCATAGTGATGATGGAGCCAGCTTGGAGCCAACTTTATATAATGCCAAGCAGACTTTTGGACATGGTGTGGGCTAGAAAATGATATGGGCAAGGGAAGAATCTGAGAAGGAGTGTTGCTGAGTAGCCTCTATGATATATATAGATCAAAAGAAAAATACCATCAGGTAGATGCTTTTTCTGCTTGACCCATTCCTAAGAGTCAAGAACAGGTTTTATGACCTATCTAAACACGTATTTCTCCTGTTTTGGTAAACGTTTCTGGAAATGAAAAATTTCTATAAATTTCATGCTTTGAATATTGGTTCCATCCCATGCTTCTTCATGATTGGTCTTAAGCATTGTTGAGATATCATTGAGACTCAAGGTTCTCTTAGAGTTATCACTTGTGTCAATTCAGTGATATCCACAGTCTCTCCTAAATTTGGGGCCTAAGTAACCTGCACTTGAGAGCTATATCAATAGCACACATTGAAAAACATGATTAGAGGGAAGCAGTTTGTTTTGTTTCTTTGAGGATCTGAGAGTTTGCACAGATGCCAAGAGAGATTTTCTTGGATTAAGCTGTATTTTCTCAGGTGTGGTCTAACTGGTCTGATTCCCTAAGAATCTGCCAGTTAGAAGACCATGGCATTTAAAAGTATTTCTGAAGACTCTGATGGAGTCTAGTCATGGAGTGGTTTCATAGGTGCATTCCATTTATGTTTGGCTCATATGGTCTCTGATGGTTCAGAGATAGTTGCTACAACAGAAGCAAACCAGTCTGTCTCATAACAGTCTCTTTTCTTTGGGGGATTCATACATTTGGGGCATCTGGCAAAGTACCAACCTCATAATTTCTATACTTATTTTTTCTCTGAAGGTAATTTGTGGCGTCGCAGATATCGTGAAGATGAAACAAAAAGTGACGATCCTCCAACACCATCAAGATCTCAGCTGTAGCTCTTGAAAGTTGGGAGGAGAACTCACACTACTTAGGACTCTACAAAAACTCTCAAAACCTCAATACAGGCTGGACTAAATTATTTCAGAACAAACATGAGCACCACCAAGAAAGACCCTCTAATTCTTTACACTTACACATTTTTCCTGGACTTAATCAGGTCTCCTTAGAGGTTTACATTTTCTCATTAGCCAAAGATTCTTGTTCCGAGTTGTCTTGTTCAGTTCTCCTTCTCTTTGTACATTTTGAGCAACTACAGTATTTATTGGGATAATTGCTTCATGAATGGCCTGGGATCTATATAGGATTCAAGGAAGTTCACCTCTTCATGGAGTCTGGGAATGGTTTCCTCTGACTAGCAGAGAAACTGGAGAAGCTGAGGTATGAATGAATGACACTCTAGGGAGATGAAGGGATGGGGCAGGACAGCCAGGCCTGGCTGTGTTTCTCCTTCAAACCCTGCCAAGTATAGCTTGAAACTGCAGGAGATCCATTCTAGTAGGCTTCTTAAAATGAGAACTAGGTCCCAGGGTCTTGTCCACTTGCCTGTTACAATAACTATGTGAAATCTTTCTGTGTTGATGTAGGAACCCCTCTCTCTCCCTCTCTCTTCTCTTCTTCTGTTCTTCCTCTCTCTCTTTCTCTCTCTCTCTCTTTCCCTTTCTCTCTCTCTCTCTCTCTCTTCCCCCTCTCTCTGCAAATCCTTTGTTTTTCCATGTGTGCATGTATGTCTTTGCACATGTCCAGGTGGTGCTCTGGTGGCTGGGTGGGCCCATTGGTTGGAACTCACCACTCATGGCAACCGTATAGGCTCCCCTCCTACTGCCTTGATCCTAGCCTGCATGCCTCCACGGAGTGTCTGCCTGCATTCTTGCTGGATTTTTTAACTAGATGTTTTGCCGCTGTGCTGCAGTATAGATTATATAGAGACATAAAGATGTAAATATACATATATATATATTTTTAAGAACTGAAAATACAACTCGACCTCTAAGTGACCCTCTAATTTATTGTGCTAACCCAGGAATCCCACCCCACCACCCATTACTCTACACACACATACATCTCTACCAACTGCCCTAGTTCTTGGTGGAGCTTCTAATCTTTTGGTGCATTTTTAACGTCTTAGAAGTAGCTGGGATCTACCTGTGGTCCAGCTGATTCTGACGTCCCCTTAAAATTCTGAGCCAGGCCACAGAAAGGGGAACAAAAACATCAATGCCCTGGAGAAGGGGCTAAGCTGGCATGCTGCCTTTTTTGCTCTATTTGTCCTAGACTTTACATCAGCAACTGCCCCAACCTGTGCTGTCCCCTTCCCCAATCAAAAGATGACATGGAGCAACCAGACCTAGAGCTCTGTGACTTAGATGTCTTAGCTATAGACTATCTGACAATCTAGTCGCAGCCTAGGCCCTTCCCCTCAAATTCTCTCTTGGCCTGAATCTTCTGGACAGGCTGTCAGGTCAGTCCCCAAATCACCTTCAGATCTTCCCATCTTGTCTCTTTCCTTGAGTACAAGAGGGACATTCAGAGTGACCAGAATGAACATGGGCCTGGGGAAATGAAGGCTAAAAGCCTCTGCTTCCTCATGGTTCTTTTTCCAAATTCTTCATAAAATATAAACTTTCCCTAGATTGCTCCAAATCCTTAATTCAATTTTTTTTAAAGTCTGTTCCCATTCATACAAATCTAATCAAATCCCGGTGCCCAGAGAGATTTTCTCTGCCCTGCCTCTCATCCCCACCCCACCCTAAATTCACACCTTTAGGTAAGTATCCCTCCCCACTTATCAAGATCAATCCAGAAAACTGGCTTTTCCCCACTTCTCATACCAACTTAGCGTGCTCAATTACCTGACTCAGTCCAATGGCTGGTTCATCGAGGTGCACAATCCAAACTCTAAGCACTGGTTCTCTACTTTAGAACTCCACCAGCCTAACCCACTGAAACCAGCCACCTGTGTTCCACCTCTGCGGGGGTGAGGAGAAAAATACTAACAAGGGGATAGTCCCCAAATGTCTGATTGCTGTGCCAAACAAACAAAAAAGTCCTAGCTCTACAACTAGAGAAGAAAGTCAATGGAAAATGATGACAGAAACCTAAAACCTACTGAGGCGTCAGAATGTATCGTATGTATTCAGGTGGAGAGTGTGTCATTGTGTGTCGTTGCTGTGACACTGGCTTTGTGTCACCCTTTCTTCCCAGGAGGAGGTGTCAGATCCAATCAGAAGGGTCATCATTGCAGGCCATCTTAGCTCCTCCTTGGCTGAGTGAATTGACACCTGTGTACACACTCACATAGTTGGGAACTGAGTTGTATTTTTTTGCAGGAGAGTCTTTTCAAAATGGAAAAATTTCTGAATGACCAAAATTAAGGAAACAGAAGAAAATACTGGGAAAGTGTAGCCTTATCTTGGCAACGACTAAGCAGGGCTATCTCTTGTAATTATTTTTATCACTAATAATAGTCAACTGTAATAGGACTCCATCTCTTGTGCTTACTTTGCTGAAGTGCTATAGATCTTTGTAAAGTGTGCTGCTGCTGTTGCTCTGTTTTCCCATCTGGATTCCCTTTCATCCACCCTGTCCTCCCACCCTGAGTCAGAAAGATATTGAATGAAACAACCAGGATTGGGAGCTAAAGCCCAATATGGAGCAGAACTGATATATGATGGGGGTCCAAGAGCAGGTGTGGCTTGTGAGGTCATTTAAGATTCCTCCTAAAGTGACTTAGTTAACAGTTAGTGAGACAGCTTTGGAAGCATCTGTTCTTGCAGTACTTTGGGGTGGGGGGAATGAGTGATCCCTCTCTCAAGGGAATTGTCTTAGCTCCTGAAGGTATAAGCTCCTTTCAGAATGAGATTAACCACTTGCAGGAATACAATTGCTCAGGTGGTGGGACCAGACACCAAATATGCATCTCAATTATGTTCAGAAATCATTAGGAGCCAAAGCTCTGAAGTATGGTTGTATCTTTGGTAGCACTTTCTGAAAATCGTATGAGGTGGGTAAGTGAGGAGAACAGTATGGGGGGGAGGCCAAATAGATTTGAGCCATCACCAACTTCTTCTGGTATCAGGACTAAGGAGTTCAGCAGCTATCCAAAAAAAGGGCCCTCTAGGATAGGGCAAAGGAATAGTAAGGAAGAGATTTTCAATTTAATAAAAAGTTTGGCCAGAAGAAACAGTTGGGATCAACATAGACTTCCCTCAGGATGCAAATGGAAGGATTTTAGTTTCAAAAGAGATAGACAGGAATACCAAAGCTACCAAACCCATTCGCACCATTCCATCCTATAAGGGACCTTGATTGGCTATATGGTTTGTGGAATTGCATTTGTCTATTTGTATGTTAACCTGTGATCCATTGTGGTCTTCTGTGTTTTTGTTTTCTCAGAGGCCCCTGCAATTAAGCAGCAGGGCCAGGGACTGGTTGGGGGAGGAAGCTGGGATAGTCATGAGTAAAAGGGAAAAAAAGCAGAAAGAAAAGGTTCCATGAAAGTGTGCTTATTCTTCTTCCCCCCAAAAATGGAACACCAGTCCTCAAAGTTAATAAAGTATTGCTTCTTAAAATATTTTAATAAATGAATAAATATAATCAACACCAGTGCCTTGTTATTTACCGCCGCATGGTGGGGGGTGCGTGGTGATGGAAGTGGAGTGTGAATTTGGGAGGTCCTTCATGCTCTAGAGAAGCCCCGTGCTGGTCAGGATGACAGGTGAGGGCAGGCAGGGGCAACACAGACTGAAACTGGCCATCAGGGTTGATCATAATACTATAAAAGGGCTGCTGAAAAGAATTCTACAACCTAGTTACAATGCAAAACAATTCTCTGGGGAAATACATGCCATTATAATTGTTCTAGAAGTCAGTTGACTTCGGGATACAGATCTCAATAAAATGAATTAGTTACTGGAGAGGTGGAATTCGATGAAGGAGGACTGGGGGACTTCTTAGATGCTAAATAGAGGCATAAAGCACCTTTCAAAATTTACACAGGCCAGGCAGAGTGGCACCTGTAATCCCTGCAGCTCTGAAGCCTGAACCAGGAGGACCATGAGTTCAAAGCCAGCCTCCATGACTTAGCGAGGCCCGAGACAACTCAGCAAGACTCTGATCTACATAAAATATAAGAACGGGCTAGGGGTGTGGCTCAGTGGTTAAGCACCCTTGGGCTCAATCCCCAGTACTAAAAACAAAAACTTTCACAGTACAATCTGTTCTCCAAACACAAACATCACACACTCCTCTCCCTTCTAGAAGTATTTGAAGTAGTGTCAAGAGAGAAGAATTGTCTCCGGAGAAGAGTTCGAGGAGTTCCCTGAGGAGTTTCTTGGCATACACATTGGAAAAGAACTTCAGCATGAACCAGACAAAGGCATAGAGGGAGGTTTATTTAGAAAGGTAGATACACATTCAAAGGAGAATGGGCTCTCTCAAGAGCAAGCAGCCTTGACTTGGGGTGGGGGTCCAATATTTACAGAAGGGGCCAGACTAGATAGAGGTGGATGCCTCAATTTCATGCCAATTTTCCCTGTACTTGCGCATATCCCACTCATTTTCCAAGGGCTTGAGCCAACATGTACAAATGGCTTTTGGCATCTCAATGGCTTGTGGGTGTTTCTTTTAAGATTCAGTATGTTTCTTTCTTTATACTAAATCTCTATCACAGTAGGAAGTGGTATTCCATTCAGATCCCAATTTGGTTTAGCCTAGCATGGAAATATTTAAAATTTCTGCCCTACTAACAGTGGCCTGGGGGAGCCAGGTATTAGTCATATTTAATAGGTAGGCATCTAAGGCTATTCTAGACCAGGATCCCACAGCATGCTACACCAGGGTGAGAATGCAAACCTTCTAAATCTCTGACTTTCCAAATATGAAAACTTGTTTAGAGACAAAACTTCTGTGACATTGAGGACAGTGTACTCTCACAAAACAACATTTTTAGGCTTTATGAGAGAAACAACTCACCAGGATGGGCTATGTGATCCATGTTTATAATTTTGTACAGCAACTGATAGGCTAGTGAAGCACTATCAGAGCTGAATCGGAAGGGGGTACTGGGGATTGAATCCAGGGGTGCTTTGCCACTGAGCCACATCCTCGGCCATTTTTATCTTTAATTCTGTGACAGGGTCTTGCTAAATTGCTTAGGGCCTCACTAAGTTGCTGAGGTTGGCCTCAAACTTGTGATCCTCCTGTCTCAGCCTTCCGAGTTGGTAGGATTACAGGCATGTGCCACCACACCCAGCTCAGATTTAAAATTTAAGCCTATGCTTTCAAATTATCATACAATAAAATTATCTTTTTTTCGTGTAGGGTTTAGTCAATTTTAACACGTGTAGAGATTTATGTAACCATTATCGATATCAGCATATGGAACAGTTTCCACTGCCTCATGAATCTCCTTCACATTATTCCTTTATAGTTACACCTTAACCCTACCCCTAAACACCAATCTACTTTTTATCACTACAAGTTTGTACTTTCAGGAATGTCATGGGATATATATCCTTTTGAGACAGTTTTCTTTAACTCAGCTACCCTTTCAGAGAAGAGAGAGAGAGAGAGAATTTGTTTTTTAAACTTTTTTTTAAGAGAGAGAGAATTTTAATATTTATTTTTAGTTTTTGGCGGACACAACATCTTTGCCTGTATGTGGTGCTGAGGATCGAACCCGGGCGGTACGCATGCCAGGCCAGCGTGCTACCGCTTGAGCCACATCCCCAGCCCCGAGAGAGAATTTTTTTAATATTTATTTTTCAGTTTTTGGTGGACACAACATCTTTATTTTTATGTGGTGCTGAGGATCGAACCCAGTGCCCTGTGTCTGCCGGGCAAGCACATTACTGCTTGAGCCACATCCCCAGCTCCAGTTTGTTCCTTTTATAGCTGACTAGCATTCCACTATATGGATCCACGTATCTGTTTATCCATTTTCTCACTGAAGATCTTTGAAGTATTTCCAGTTTCTTTGACCAATTGATTTAGTAATGTGATTTGATTCCCTGGGTTTGATTCCCAGTTCAACAATAACAAAAAAAGAGAAATAAAAGTGCTATTTTCCAAGCATTACTATTATTTTTCTGTTATTGATTTCTACTTTAATTCCACTGTGGTCAGAAAACACACTATGCATACAATTTTTTTTCTTCTTTTTTTTTTTTTTTTTTGGTACCAAGGATTGAACCTAGGGGTGCTTAGCTTAACCACTGAGCCACATCCCCAGCCCTATTTTATATTTTATTTTGAGACAGGTTCTTGCTAAGTTGCTCAGTATCTTGCTAAGTTGCTGAGGCTGGCTTGGAATTCGTGATTCTCCTGCGGCAGTCTCCTACACAGCTGGGATTATAGGCATGCACCACTGTGCGCCACTCAATTCTTTTTAATAGGTTAAGGCTTGTTTTATGACTCAGGTTTACCATTTTATTATTTATTTTGCTTGGTCCTTGTTTTTATTCCTGTTTTCCTTTTCCTGCCTTCTTTCAGTTTATTTAAATATTTTTTAGTATTTCACTTAACCTGTTGCAGCTGTGACATCTGTTTATGTAATTCTATAGTAGTTGCTCTAGAGATTGCAAAATACATACTTTTTGTGGTCTGCTTAGAATCAATATTTTATCACTTCAATTGTAATATAAAAACCTTATCTTATTATTAAGCCCTTTACCCCCCTCCACTTTATACTACCACTGTCTTACGTAGTCCTTTTCCCTTTGGGTACCATTTCTCTTTTTTTCTTTTTCTTTTTTTTTTTAAGATGGGAATGTTGGGGATTGAACCCAGGGGCACGTGCCCACTGAGCCACATCCCCAGCCCTCAGGGTCTCACTGAGTTGCTAGCACCTCACTGTTGCTGAGGCTGGCTTTGAACTCATGATCCTCCTGCTTCAGTCTCCAGAGCTACTGGGATTACAGATATGCACCACTGCACCTGACTCCATTTTTAGTTCTATATAAAGAATTCTTTGCAAAAGTCTTTTACTCCAAATTTTTTTCATTTCCCTTCATCTTAAATTGTGTTTTTAAATTAATCTTCATTCCTGAAAGATATTTTTTTTACTGGATATTGGATTGTGTGCTGACAATTCTTTCAACATCTGAAAAATATTGTGTGTCTTCTTTCTGGTCTACAGTTTCTTATGAGAAACCTGCAGCCATTGGACTCATCTATGCGTCTGTATAATGCATTGTTTTTCTCTGGATGCTTTGAAGATTTTTTCAGCAGTTTGGCTATGATTTATTTATCTAGGGATTACTTTTCACTTATCTTGCTTGAGCTTAATTCCTCTGTTTTGAATCTCTAGGGGGGTGTTTTTCAACCAAATTGGGAACTTTTCAGGCATTATTTCTTCAGATTTTTCAGTGCTACTCTCTGTTTTCTCCTCTCATTTCCTTCTAAGGCTCTAATAGCACAAGTGATAGACCTTTCATTGTTGTCTCAACAAGTCCCTGGAGCACATGTTCCCACCTGCCCTCCCTAGGCTGGGGGCCACTGTCAGTTCAATTCTCAAAAGTTCACAATGCTACTCAGATCTGGGGGGCGGGTTTTGATTCACTAGTTAATTTGGGAAATAGACATTCCTTAGATCTTCTGCCGTGTGTGTGTGTGTGTGTGTGTGTGTGTGTGTGTGTGTGTGTGTG